AGGGGCAGCAGTTTCTTCAGGAAACATCCACATGCTCCAGGATGTGGCAGGTCCTGTGGAGAGCAGTGTGGATCCCTGCTCCGGCCTAGTTCCCTCCAAGGGCTGCAGGGAAGTCCATGCTCCATTGGAGTCCTGCCCAGGGCAGCAGGGGAATCTCTCTGATGCCTGCAGTACTTTCTCCCCTCCTCCTCACACCTTGCTGCTCCCAACTCCATTATGCAGCATTTTGTCACTTCTCACCCCAGCCACTCCTGCGGCTTCACTGCTACCAGGCCCAGACACCCAGGCCGAAGGCACCCATTTACCTGTGCCATGAGCGACCTTTGCAGCTGCCAGGGAGACACAGGCAATACTTCTACTCTGGAGCAGTACAGAAAGAAAAGCAAAAACCTGAAGCTTCTGCATACAAGGCCATCTTCCAGGAGCCATCAAAGTGCATCCAGATATAGGTGAGGCTCCAGCAGTGGGTAAAGAGAGCTCAGGGGCCTCTACAGGCCTTCAGGGGCTCATGTTGTGGGACCCTACAGCACAAACCTCAGGAGGAGCAGCTGAGCCAAGAGGGTTTCTTGAGCCTTGAAAAAAGACTGAAGAGACATTATTGCTCTCTGGAACCACCTGAAAGGAGGTTATAGCAAGGTGGGGGTCACTCTTTTCTCCCAAGTAATACACAGCAGGGCAAGAGCCAATGGCCTCAGTGCCACAGGCAGTTTACACCGGCTATTACGAGAAATTTTCTTCACTGAAAGCATTGTGAAGCACTGGAACAGGCTGTCCAGGAAAGCAGATGAGTCACCATCCATGGAGTTGATGGCTCCATGTTCAGGGATGTAGTTTAGTGTTGGCAGTGTTAATGGCTGAGTATCTTCATGTTCTAGTAAGTACATCTTGACTATAGCTTAAGCCACAAGGCTGTCTGCAAATCAGCTCCAGAAAATGCCAGCAGATCCGTTCCTCAGTATTCAACGGTTATATACATTGCAAGAATTTTACAATCGTAGTAGAAACATTTTAATTCAAGACACAGGTGAAAATTTCTAACAGTATTTGGTCCTTTCTAAAAAGAAAAGTCAACACATGTTCCTGTAAGTATTCTGTCAGTCTTCATCGTGATTTTAAACAATGAACTGTCAAAAATTTGTTTGCTGAAAAAAGCCTGCCATCCTTCCACCCCAATTAACTAATCAGTTGCTATAAAACATCATTGAAAGCACCTAAGGGTTTACAAGACATGCCAAGCACTAGGATGCAATTTCACAGGATATCCCAGTGAGGAGCTTAAGAGCAGAATCAGGACAAAGCATGGACTAAAATAAAGTAATTTTTAAAATCAAACCCATCAGGTTTGATAATTAACTAAAGTTAAATGGGGAAGTGTTAGGTAACACTAGAAGCTACCAGAACAACAAAAGGCTTCACAGAATTGTACACACATCTTTGTTATTCCCATCTACTAAAACTATTGTTTTATTCCATTGGTGCATTTCTGTGCCTGTACAAAGAACAGTTGCATAAAAATGTCTCCATTATACACCAATAAAATACTTTTGTATTTGGGTGCTGCACAGGCAATACAGCACATTGTGCTGTGCATTCATCATTGAGTCATGAGACAGCCTCTCAAATAACACAGTTATGGCATGTTGAAATCAGATGGCTGCAGCAGTGCTTTTTAATTATGATTGTACATTTGCCAGTTCTGATCAGTATTTCAGTTTCATGAGCTGAAGACAGCAGAGTTGCTGCTGGTGTCCTTCTGCCTTCCTCCCTTATCCGGGCAGTGACAATCCATGACAGTTAAATCCCACAGCTGCCTTGCCTTTGGACTTCATAAAGTTTGGATTTATTTGCTTCAGTAATCAGTCTACCCTTAAACACTCCTTAATCTGAAGCTTCCTTTTAGTCTTCATTTAATTTCCAGTAGTTAAGCTCTTTTCCTTCTAAAATACTTGGAAGACAGCTTGCACTCATTACTCAGTTTAAAAAAAAACAAAAAAAAAACCCCAACAAATCAAACCCAAATGTTTCCAGTTTCTCTTCCTTCTCCATCCAATACCATCAGGCTGGGCAGCGTAACTGGTACTTCCTTGTATGTCCAGATGTGTTCCCCAAATCCCCACACCACATCTGTTGTGCTGTCCTGTTTTCTGGCTCCTCCTCCTGGCTCATTGCCCCAGGTCCTTTCCAACTTAATGTCTCTTGCCCCTGCATCCTTTCCTCTCTTGACACGCCACAGGAATACTTCTCATCACACTTCCAATTATGAAGTTAATTTCACATTTTACTTTTCCTTCTTTCTGCCTTCTCCACTTCTACCTTTGAAGCTCAAGTTCACTGCAATGTATGACCACGAAACAAACTTCTTCACATCCTTCCAGTTCCCATGTTACATTCCTCATTCCTTCCTTCTTAGAGAATTCCATATTTCAAAAAGGCACTTTTAAGCTGCTCAGTGCTATTATAAATCACTGCAGCAGTAGCTTACTTTGCTACTTCTCTCACTTGCTCCCTTGGCATCTCTAATGACTCCAACTACTCTTCTCTCTGTGGGCCAAGTTTGTCAGCTTTCTCCTATTACCCACAGGCAACATCATCTACAGTCTCCTATTCCTCAATTAAAATAAGAAATTGAGTTCTCTTCTCACCCATCCCCTTGCCTTATTCCCTCCAGCAAGCTGTCAACACCTCAACCTCTCAGACAGCAAAAATAAAAACCCAAGATACCTATCTTCCCTACTGTGCATGTAGGCACTCCAAAATTACTCCTTATTCTACCCTCAGTCTGTATGTGAGACTTTTTTCCCCCTCAAAGTTAAGCCTTCCCCCTTTCTTTTTCCCAACTAGCAAGCCTTCTGCTATCACTGTACTTAAAGCAGATGTAAATACTTCTTTCCCAGTTAACTGGAATTCATGTAAATCTCTCTGTATTTTCTGGAATATCTTCATGTTTTTCTTTCATTGTATGACATTATTCTGGGGTGTGATTTGGCAAGATTAATGACTTCTTTGATGTGTCCTGTCCTGTTCATGCCCTTCTCCCTGTTCCCTGAACTGTTGTGCCAGTTTCCATCATTCTCAGTGTCACACTGACTTCTCCTAAGCCTGTCTTTTCTCTGTGCCATGCAATAAGTCATCCAAAGCCAACTTATCACTTTAGCGGAAAAACTCAAAATTCCACTCAGAGACCTTCAAAGAATTCACATCTAAAATGCTGTACAAGAAATTAACTCTTTCTAGGCAAATATCACTGAAGCCTCAAGTGATTCCCCCCATTACAAATATCAGTGTGCTGTTCCATACCACACAGTATCTGAGCATTTATCATATGGAAAATAACTGAATTTATTACTCTGTGACAGAAAAGATACTCAATAAAAGGACCAGGAAGTATGTTTATATGACAAAGAAAAAGGAGGTACAATGGTAAGCATCATACCCATCAATTCTGTCATTTGGATACTGAATCCACAATGGATTTAACAATTCAAACACACAAGTAATGACAGCGTACCTTTATTTTAAGATGTGCACTGCACTGATGCAGTAGATACAATGCCAGCAGTCTTCTCCTTGCACAAACTACTATCAGTCAATAACTTCTAGGTGGAAGCAGCATTTAGTGCAAAGAATAATTAAGAAACCTCTAATGTTAACCATGTCTTGGGAACTGTTTGCATACATAGTGCAGCAATCATACCCATTTCCCAACTGGCCTTAAACATGGAAAACTGATCAGCTATAGCAGATTGCATCTGAAAATTCTAGCACAGACTTGTTTTTCTTTTAAAAAAAATCTACACTACAGCAACAAATAAATAAAGACTAACAATGTGTATATATTTGCTCAATCAATTCAGCAACTTAAAAAAATATAATGTTCAGTGTTTGCTGAATTGCTTTATACTGCATCTATCACTTCAAAACACTACCTTAAAAAAAGTTAAAGAAAAAAAATAATTATTCCAACTCTCTTCATACCCTATTAGTTGAAAAGTTTGCAAGCACTGCTGCCTCTCAGCTATTAATATGCAATTCCCTGGTCATTCTGGAAATCTTTACAGAACATCCCTGCACACCCAGCAGCCCCCTGTGCAGCGATGCCAAAGTGAAGCACAAGCCCTGGTACAATGAGCAGATTAAGTCATCTTCCAGTTCACAAGTTTTCTTGCTAAAAACCAAAACACCCCCACTTGTTGTGACTGATTTCTACATCTGCCAAGCTCACCCAGGAACACATGCTCTGAGCTCTGTCCCTGTGTGCTTCATTTCATCTACATAAGTAATCACACTAAGAACCAATGGAAATATTCATGCTTGCAAAGTTATGGATACACCTGTTTCCAGGATATCTGCATTCATCTGCAGCTAGACAAACTGTCTGTGGTCCTGTATCATAAATGAAGAGCTGCATTATAGGTAATAACATCAAAGTATTTCCTAGGATGCCTTCAACAGAGCTAGAATACTCAGGGAGATACAGGAAACTTTATTGTATTTAGAGGCAAGCTTTGTTCTTTGTGAGTATTCAGTGATTCACAAGCTGTAGGTCATGGAAGAACTGCACCCTGTGTATATTAAGAGAATTAACCAAGATAATTTAAAGTAGTAAGACTGAAAAATGCTTCTATCTATCAGCTATCCAAGCCAAAAACATTTTAACAGCTTCTGCCCAATTACAGAAAAAAATAATTTTGGCACATTCTCTAGTCTCAGACTGGAATTCTGCATAGGCTACTCAGATTCCACTAAGACTTTATTGATGTGGGATGCAATAGATTTTTTTTTTAATGTATGGTTTAAGAACATAAAGGACAGCTTTTGTTTGGTTTGTTTTCATCTTGGCGGGGCAAATCAACTCTCCAATAAAACTAAGAAAATGTTGATTATGGGTGCTGAATCAAACATCACTATTGTTCAGGATTAGAATGCTTAGGGAAATAGTGCATTTTTTATTCTACCTTGGAGAAGTAAAAAATGCATGTATTGGGTCATATCCTTCCTACCTCCTTTCAAGTGGGATTTTTAAACAAATATTTCAGTTGACACATAGCAGACTCTTACAAAAATATAACTTTTGACAGCATGAGAAACTGCTAAAGAAAAATGCATCTTTCAGAACAGAACTACAATGCACTCCAGCTTCTACTGATTTTTACACTGCAAGTAAATGAGCAAAAGCCTCACATAATATGGGCCATCTGTGGCAATACAACCATCACTGACCCTACTGAAGCACACACACACTTGCTTCAGAACATTCAGTGCAGGTGCACATAAAGATAGATCACATCACACCCACATTTCTTCATCCTCTATCTTTACTTCAAAAATCTAGTGCTTCCCATACGGCTGGGGAGAAGACATGCCCACATGAACCTCATTACACTCTTACACTGTGGTGGAATGAAAGCCCAGCCTTTATCTTCATGCTTCAGTACAAAGCTACTGCCAAATCCATATCAGAATCCAAATAATCAATATGGCAGCAACTAAAGAATTCCAGGAGGTAGAAGGCCAAAGAGTCTTCTGCAGCAGAGATTACAGCAATGATGAATGAAACTAGGGTAAGTAAAAATTTAAGACTGGCTTCCTTCCCTTTGCAACAAAGGACTTATGGTATTCTCTCACAAGATTTTTTTCTTTTTAGTTATGCCCTTCTCTATATGGAAGCAATGCAGAGTTCATTAAAAAAAGCCAAAACCACAAAAACCCTCTCCCATTTTTAAAAAGCACCATAAATGAAAAAATCTGTTGGAAAAAAAAACCCAACAAAAACTCCATGGACCACCCTTCAGGGATGAAATGCTAAAGATGTCTCTTTTAATCAACCAGTTTGTGAAGATCTACAAAAAAATAAAAAGGATCACATTCTAAAGGTTCAGTGCAGTCAGCAGCTATATAGTTTTGCTGCTTATTCATCTTTAAGTTGACTTTCAAAAATAACACCCTAGCTTGTCAAAATATACATTTTCCATTTGCTTTTAAATTAAAATAATAATAAAAAACATTTAAAGAATTCACAATCAATAGCATGACTAAGTTTCAGGATCATCTACAGCATATAATTTAAAGATTCAAGATGCCAATATGCAGCATGTGGCAGGCCTATACGCTCCATGCAGCATGTACATTTAAGAATCTCAGTCTTGATGTTCAGATGTCAGTCTTTTTCTTCCAAATCGTGTAGAATACCCATCTGGAGAAAATAAGCAGTTAAGGAAAAAAACCAAAAAGGCAACACTTGTACACTTAAAATGTAGTTCTTTTTACTTATATTTAAATTCTGAAAACTTCTGGTAGCTCATAAAGGGTAGGCAAAACACTTAAAAGTGAAATCTCCCTGGATTTTCTTCTTGACTCAGCAGTTCAAAGATGCCTACTTTTCAAATCACATATATGTTCCATTAAGGCCTGGCAGTTTTAAAGACATAAATAGTCAGTTTCTCTGAAAATGTAAGCTTTAAGGGCAAGTATCTTGATATCCTTCACATTTGTCTTTTGTCTTGAAAATGTGAGGTCAAATCTGTGTTTCACAAAGAGCTGCCAATAATAAGAAGCAGGAGGAGCTGGCTATAGTCAGTTTGGAGTCAGTACAGGGTCAGCACGGAGGCTGCAGCACTGAACACTACTGGGCTTAGAGACACAGAAGGGAGGCAAATAAACACAACAGAAGAAAGGCTGTGACAAAGAAAGGCAATGTACTATGAATAAGATGATCGTGGAAAGATGTTTCCTTGTCAAGAGAGACAGCCACAGCAGGCTTCACCCTGCAGAAACATTTCCAGGGAGATCCCACAAAAGAAGCAAACACTCAAGGCAAATGCAGCTGGCAGAACCACCTTATAGAAGATCAAAATGCCCCTCCACGCTAAGGGCTTGAAGTTTAAACTTCTAGGCTACTTCTATAACTTGATACCCACAAATTGAAAAAATTCTGAAGGATTATTTTTAGGAATGGGATGTGGCTGAGAATATGCATACCCCTCTACTTCAAGTAGTTTTTTCCAGTAACACTAACTAGTAATGATTGTTAGGAATCACTCTTCCCCATTCCTCAGTCTTAAAAATCAAGTCTGAACTGTATGCTCAAGAATAGCTCTATCAGACAACATAAAAAGATTGGGATCATGCTAATCTGTATGAAGTTAGCTCCTTATTTTTGTAAAAGAAAAAGGAAGATAAAGCCTTGTAGGAACTCCCAGGCAGCATTACCCTCATCACACAGTTTATCCTAGATCACATACGCCACTCAGAACCTTTAACAAAAACACAGCCTATTCATGAAAGGTGCTGATCATTTCACCAGCTGTGAATATACGGCACTTTTAGAAAACAATTCCTACAATTATCCTCAAAAAAATTGTAGTTGTTCATTTACTATGAAAAAAAATTAAGTGTTTAAATCAGAACTGCCTCTTTGCTTGAGTTTGTTACCTCCAACCAGTCTATACTTGCTTGATTTATTAATACACAAGTCGTCTTCAATCTTTAAGGATACAATTCCATGTAGGAGGGAACACACACAGTTTCTTTTGAAAACTCCACAGGACAATAAAGCCTGCTAAGCTGTTCTTCATACAGAGTCAAGGCATCAGTCAGATTGACACAGTTTCCCTGAAGAAAAAAAAAAAAGTCCCAGTCACAATCAAGCAAATAAGGATTTCAGCTGAATATATACATTTTGACATTACTGCAAGGCTCCCACATATTTCAGAACCAGATACATGCTGATCTTAATATTTAATACTTACAAGGCAAACACTGAACAGCTTGTCTTCACTCTGCCTACAGAAAACAATTTGTATCCTTTCAAGAAAGGGTAAGTATGGGAGATTATATTTTCGTTAGCAGAAGCAACCATTATGAGAACTTCCAGTTAAAACAGACCACCATGTGTTGTTTACCTATAACATCTACTCCATAACTATTTTCTTTATGATTACTTAAATGTATATTACTAAACAGTATTACTATGCCCAGATTTTTCTCAGTTATTTAACACTGCCTAGATCTTACAGTGTTTAAATGCACTATAATTATATATGTAATTGTTTAAAATTACTAGGCTGTAATATTATATTTATAGATTGTTCCACAAAGCAGTAGGACAAAATACATCAAATTACACAGAAGTTCTCTGGCTGTAGGCTATATTGTCTTAAGTTTCTGTATGTCCTGCTGCTGAAAAGGAAGAGATTCCTATGATACTTTTTTTGTCTTCAGGGTGAAACAACATGTCATTCTTGGAATACAAACACATCAAGAATTACAAAGAGTGAGGAATTAAAAAAAAAACAACAAGAAACAAACACCCCCCCCACCCCAAAAAAACCCCCAAGCTCAAGAACTCCCAAAAAAATCAAACACCCAAAACCACCGACCCCCTCCAAAAAAAAATTTAAACTAAAATCCCCACCCAACTCTCCCCCAAGCAACCTATTTGGAAGCACTACCTTGTCCCAAGCTATGTATTAAAAAGAAGCAGAAGTTACTGCAATGCATACCTGGGATGCCCATTCAGAGAAAGATCTAATTAGAATTCTGAATTCTCCATACCCATAACATGTTTGAAGATTCAGTGGTTACAGTGAGCTCACCAGAACACCAGATTAAACAAACACCAACTACCCAAAGCAATAAAAGTCAGTTGTGTAAATTCAATTAAAAAAAACCCTTTGCCAAGTTTCTTGACTACATAACTGAGTAGACTAGCAAATATTTTATAACCTTAAATTCAATGGTCTAGGAAGAGTGTGGCAAATACAAGTTATTTTGACACTAATTTGAAATTCAGTGAAGTTAAATATAGTCACCACTGCATGGTCTACAAATCACTCCGGTTGTTTTTTTTCCAGGTATGAGGCACCAAATGAAGACTCCCCAAAAAAAACTGTACTGTTGCTGTGGCACAGCACAGAGATATCACATTCTTTTTATTGTGGTCAAGGTGAAGATATTCTTAAAAGGCCCTTGGCACACTGACAGCCAAATGAATTGATTTGTAATCTTCTACTTCCACCACTTTCCTGAGGAATCTTCACCTCAACCTATAGGCCCCAAACATGATAAACCAACCATGCTGTAACACTACACATCAACATCAAGTTATATGATAACTACAAATCTCTCCTGCCCACACAGTATGTGCCAGTCTGGCCATATGTAGAGCAGGATGAGATCTTCAGGAGATTGTGTCCCCATGTTCCCCTAATGGCTGGGCTTACTGGCATGTAAATGCTAGCAGACTGGCAGAAATGTCTTTTACTGTGATCTAGCACAAAGCCTGCTTTCCTCTTCTGATTTCTGATCAGTAGATACAGAAGCATTAACTAGCATTTTCCAGAGTTACTGTCAATATAAAAATCCTCAGCTTTCCCCACACATTTTATCACTTATAATGGAGGAACGTTTGCCACAGAAGATAAAAACAAGAACAAAAAGAAAATGTTTATGTTAATGAATACACAGTTTCTAATGATCCAGCACAAGAACCAAAGCCCCACAAAATGATGACAAGAAATGTGAGGCACAGAAGTTATTTGTGAGAAAGAAAATGAGTCTAAAGCAGCAGCCTTCATCTATGGAATGACAGGACCTTCCTGCTGCTCTGAATGACTTCGGGAAGTGTTTGTGTGTACACACAAGTACACATAATTTTGGGGCTTTTTTTAACTGACCATTGATTGCAGTATCTTGTTCATTCCTACTGTTCAATAACATCTGTAACCTGCACATGACTGTGAAAGAATGCAGATGGCTCAATTAGAAAATGCTAGATCTACTGAAAAAAATTAGCTCGCTTACAGTCATATCTTATTCAATATTTTAGAACCTCTAACTTGAAATGAGGAGCCCAGGACATACTCAATACTTCCTAAGTGCCTGACTACCTATGTTTCACGTATTTGTGTTTCTCTGCTAAGACACTGCAATGTTTTTAAATCCAGGAGCAGTCTTTATGAAAGACTTGTTTTACTGTGCAGCTTATTTTTGGCGCTCCTAGATTTTTATTTTTTTTAATGGCTTTAAAATCATTACATGCACACAGATGCAACTGAAAGTTAATTTTCATAAAGCAAGGAATTAAGAGGAGTTTGAACAAGTACTATCTGTACTCTCTAAAACATACAGCAGGCAGAGGCCAAAACAAGCAGCAGTCACATTTTGAAATCAGTATTTCCAAACACCTCCATTTACATTGCTTTTTCTGTGTAATAACATCAGATGATATCTAGAACCAAAGTGTAAAATGTACATTCTGACTTAGGGATTTATACTTTTTCCTGCTTTTTATTGGTAGGATTTTTTTCACAGTGTATTTAAAACATTTCTGTTTCCAGAGGAAGTAAAAAGAGAATTCATTCCACTGATCTTCCTCTGAATTTTTTGAATCCTGCTCTTTTTTTTTTTATTGTGCTCAAGTTTTCACAAGTAGAAGAGAAAACCTCAACTCTAAAAAAAAATCTTAACACAGCATCTTAACAATGGTATCAGGCACATAATGTGATTCTTGGGGTTGCCTGCACAGGGCCAGGAGCTGGACTTCAATGATTGCTGTGGGCCCCTTCCACAGCAGGGAATCCTATGACTCTATTCTAACACACTCTAATCTTTTAAAAACCGTATTTGGGAAAGCATTCCTTCAAAAGAACTTGCATGAAACATATTTGATTGTAATTTTGATCATATTGCACAAACAAACCAGTACTTGTTTATTTAGCAAAGGAAGGCGACATGCTGTATATAGAATTTTTCATATTTGGGTATCAGAAAACAAATGACACTTGTAAAAAGGTAGAAGACTAACACAAACTGAGCTCAATGAACAGACTGCTGCAGTACTTGTTTAGTAACCTGTTATTATCCAGGGGATTGTGGTGGTTTTTTATGGTTCAGCTGCCCTTTACCAAACATATCATTTTGTTTCAACATCAGACTGAATGCAAAAGAAAACTAAAAAACAACCTGTGTGTGTAATTTGAGTCATAAATAGGAACACTGCTAGGTAATTTACAGAGCACACCACCATTACATAGGAAGCTGAATAGGATACACAATGACAGAACAGTATCCAGTTTCCCAGACTGTCACTTCAGTATTTCATCATTTCTCCTTCTCTGGCAAGAGACAAATCACTGCAGACACCATGGAAAACAAATTACAGGAACAACAGACATGCCAAGAAACAATTTTTACTTTTCAAACCCACAACTCCCCAATCTCCAAATCAAGATCTTGCCTAAAGGTTCAGACAACTCACCTGGCTCTTCTATCAATCTTTTTCTTCTGGAGAAACACTACAGGATTTTATCATTCTGCATAGTCATTTTTTATAACTATCTGGCTTTACTGAACACAAAGTTAAGCAGTCCAAAATTCAAATCTACAAAACTTAAGGGTTATTTCAATAAACTTATTGAAAAATCACTATTATCAACCCCTTTCTTTAAAACATAACCTGCTTTATTAACCAAGACTACAGTGCTAGTAACAATGTCAGTCACACTTGTTCCAAGTATCACTAAAATGCCACAGGGAACCAAGCCCAGAGTGCAATACAGAGATAGGTCCAATAAACCCGTGTTCACTCCATCTCCCACTGTCTAATGAAAGGTTTTGGGTTAGAGCAGTGCATTGTTTGCACTGAACAGACACTATATAACTCAAACAATAGTTAATACTGAATGCTATTTAATAAGGTTTAAAGCAGATGACTCACCAATTATATGTCTTCAAAAAGCAGAATCATTTTCTTTTTTCTCTCACAGTGTTCAGCCAAATTTTCAACATATACCAAAACCTCTACCAAACTCCTCTGCCCAGCCCCCCTCACTTAAGCTGTTCCATGTCAAACAATTTGACAGGTAAGAACTAGGAAAATAATGAAATTTTTTTACCCCTTAAGATGCATCTTTCTGACATGAAAGTACTTGAGGCAATTTTAACTTTAGATTAACAAATCTTAATCTCTAAAACCTTGCTTAAGACAGATAGATGACTCCTGAGCTTTTTCATAGCCTTTGCATCCCGAGTCTGAGTGCTTGCGCCCACTTCAACAGCTCACGCCTATCTCCCAACGTGCTTTTTTTTCTGGGCTCTCACAAGGCACAAATTCTATAGTTCCATGGGTTTAGTTTTTAGGTTTCTACAGGACAATGTACAACAAATTTAAATAACAAATATAGTTCTGGACATGCAAAAACCATTCCTTAAAATAAGTAGGAAAAAAAAAAAATTGTTTAAATTAACTCTCTAAGTTCCAGTTAACTTTGCCCATCTACAAAGTGGATGTGTCCATCAACTGCTTACAGGATAACCTAAGGCCACTATGCGTCCTCCAACCCTCAGAAAGAAAATTCTGCCACAGAAGTTTAATTTTTACTTTTAGCATATGTTTCTATTTTTATTTTATAATGATGTGCCAGAATTGGTCATGGCCAAGGTTGGGTTTTATCCTTCCCCACTTCAGAGTGACTAATAAGCAGTAAGACACAGCATGAAACACCTAGCATCAAAGTCAGGCTTAGGTTTTGGGGGACAGGAAGGGCTGGTAAGGAAATAATGGAGACAAACCTGACTGTAAGTACCTCCAGTGACTGAACTCTCAGTAACAA